CCTGGACATGGAGTCTTCTCTGTATTCTCTCAAGAAAACAGGGAGATACAAGCTATGTTATCTGTGAAGGTCAGCCCTTTTAATCACTCTTTTCCTCTCAGAGATGGGAAATCACCAAGGCTTACTTCTGCATCTCCATCAAGGTGGAGATTTGCTTGGCTACAGGGATCAACAGTACCCATCCTGTGCTCTCCATTTTTATTTCTTCTTGGTTACCATGGTCTTTGCTAACATTCTGCTGACATCGGCTTAGGTCCATATTGATGGACAGATGACCAGTCCTCTGAAGATTCTTGCACCCATAGGTGAATCAGCACTGGTAATAGGAGGAAGACCTGTTCTTGGATGTACTCTAGTTGCCTACCTTCTCTGAAGGGAATAAAAGGAAAAAGTGGACTTAACTTTTAATTTCTGTCCAAGTAGTTAGTTTTACTCCCATCTTATGAACCTCAGTTTTTGTGTATTATCTTGGGGAAAGTGTGATTGCAGAAGGCTTTGTATCCTCTCCTTCCTACTTAAACTCTCTACCTGGAGCTGCTACTTCACAGCCTCCCTCCCTGATGTGAAGGGAGAGTTCTCTGTTCTTTTGTGTCTTTCAAAGCTTGGCCAGTTTCTTTAAAGTTGCCTGTTGCAGCAGTTGAGTTAGTTGTGTTCTGTGGCCTAGGACTTCCTTGACTTCGCTGTCTTCAGAATGAAGCGAGGGGCCGTTCTTCCTCCAAGTCAAACACTGAGGTCGCCTTCCCATACCCAGTTGGTACTTTTCTCAATACTAGCTTCCCTTCTCCACTAAGTTCAAATTCATAGGTACATCCAGAATCCCCTTTTTCACGTGTGATCTTCTTACCCCTGAGTCATATTTTGGCTGATTTGTTAATGATTTTAGTGTAAAACTGTAGAGTGAATCATTTGTGCATAATGCAAAATTACATTTTTGGGGGGGTGGCAGTATAACTATTCTTACATTTATTTTTGATGAATTCTGTGGGAGAGAAGTAATCCCAACTCTATGCCTATTACTGAAAAAGAGACAGTAAACTTTTTGTTGCAAAACATGTTATTTCATTTGAGTAATATAGTGCTTTTTAATTACTATAGAAGTTTTAAAGGATATTCACATAAGTTAACATACATCGTCTACTTGAATTCTTACACATCACTACAAAAAATATTGGATATATTTTAGATGTGATGTAATATTCCCAGGCTCCCTTAATCATGGTTGGAGATCAATGGCATGCTCTCTTTCCTTCCTGTTTTTGGAGCAAATCTCAGTGATAGGAGAGTTCACATGCGAGCAATTTAAACACTATTAGATCAGGAACATTATGTCTGCATCAGATCTTAGCTGATTTAATGGACTTTAAAAATCCATTGATTACATGAAGCAAAAAGTAATAAAAAGCTCTTGATAGCAACTTATTGGGAGCTTGCTTTTCATATCATTTGTTAGAATAATTATTTTACCTGTATAGATACCTGATCATAAAATATTGATAGCTAGTCAAGGTATATCCCCTCTCACACAAAACATCTAAAAGGGAAGAAGTATAATTTTTCTTCAAGCATGTAAAGAAAATGTGAAGAAAGCAATCTTTGGATAGGGAATAAGGGTTTTACCTGTACATGAATGTGCATTATCCAGGCAAGAAGCTAGTACAGAAATACCACTTGCTGGTCCTCAGCTGAATTCATGAGATTGGGAATGGGCTATCATCTGAAGTGTGCTCCCTCCTTCTTTGCATCACATTAATTCCCTCCGCCTCTCCACCCCCCTCAAAATCACCCTTAACAATGTTTTGTCATTATGTCTGCCCAAGTACCATGGTTAATACAAAACAGGTTGCATAGGTAACAGGATTTGAAACCTTGATTCAAAACTGGTATGAAACCCTAAAGCCTTGGCTGGCTTGTTTTGACTGGAACTTGAGAACTTAACAATGAGCTAAGGTAAACAGCAGTGAAAGGAAGCACTGGGAAAAGAACATGTGATGTCCCAACCCCAATGTCTAGTAATTACAGTTTTATAATTAATCTTTAAAAGTTCTTGCCATTACTTTTATTGGTCAGATATCTGGACTTGGCTATATATTTCTGCTGGGCTGTTTGCTATTTCTGCACTTCTGTTTAGTAGTTCTGAATTACAGGAAGACTTAGACCTTGAATTTGTGTCTGTCACTCCATCAAAGTAGTCTTTGCCTGCTGTAAACATTTTCCTGTTTATACCTTTTTTAAAAATACAACCCCAGATACATTCAGTAAATGTTCCATCATTTTTATAATTTCCAATTTTGTCCTTCAGATATTAAGCAAATAGTGTCACCATTGGTCTTTTGTAGGTTCTTCGTACTGGAGGAAGTCAGCGCCCGCTTACTCCCAATCAGGGTCAGCAAGGGCAGCAGGCAGAGTCACTTGCAGCAGCTGCGGCAACAAATCCAGCTTTGGCTTTTGGTCAGGGTCTTGCCACAGGCATGCCAGGTATATAACAATGAGTTAAGGAAACTAAGAATAGTTCTGAGATGAATTACCTAAAGTCCTGTTGTGTTCATAATATACTATTTGGATGTGATCGCTTTATCATGTGCTTTTTTGGTTAAAATTCTGACTTTCCACACACCATGAAATAATTACTCTTAGTGGGATATGTTAAATCAGAGGTTCACAATTCAAACTATTGAATGCTACCTTACATTTTTACTTAACAAGGGACATTTTTAAAAAGAACGCTGTTTGCCTGATGATTTAAACATATAAAATGTAAACCTTACAGTGTATTTGGTGAGCCAGGACTGATGGCTGCACTGGTTTAAACAGCTGGGATTACGAATTGCCAGTGGCATTGGAATTAAGTTTTAAACCATGAGGAAGAAGTGTGCTTTTATATAGAGCACACTAATGACAGTGAACATTGAGCTAGTGAGCATGTACAGTGTTGAATTGGGGAGAATTTGGCCATCAGTAAGGCATTTATGTATAAAAGTGTGCGATTTTGGATCCTCCGTCTCTGTTTTTGGTACTCTGTTAAACAGGCTACCAATGAACTGTGATGAATTACAAAAAACACCTGGTGGACCACAAGTATGCAGGTTTGTATTATATAAAATAGACAGGAGTGCTATTTACCAAGATTTGAAATAGACACTATTTTTTTTTTTACCTTTCATTTCTATAAAGGCTGGAGCAAATGTTAATTTTTGCAGTCTCTTAATTGTAGTTCAGGGTTATATCAATTTAAACTTTTAAATGGTTAATGCTAACTAAGAGTTTGTCTTCCTTAGAAATTGAAATCAAAATCTGAACCTAGTTGAGAGGGAATGCTGGTTAGCATTCATCATAGTCAAGGCTGGTAGGATAATGGCAGGAAAAAAATGTTAAGAACATAAGCCCTGTTGGATCAGACCAGTGGTCTGTCTACTCCAGCATCCTGTTTCACACAGTGGCCAACCTGTTCCCCTGGAGGGTCAACAAACAGCATAGAGGCCAAGGTTCTCTCCTGATGTTGCTTCCTTGCACTGGATTTCAGAGGTTTACTTCCTCCAAATGTGGAGGTTCACTTTCTTCATTACAGCTAAGAGCCATTGATGGACCTTTTCTTCATGAATCTGTCTAATCCACTTTTAAAGCCATCTATACCAGTGGCCATCACTACATCCACTGGCAATGAAGTCCACAATTACTTGTTGAGTAAAATATTTCCTTCTGTCAGACCTGTACCTTGTTTCCCATTAATTTCATTGGGTGCCCCCAAGTTATAGTATTACGGGAAAGGAGAGTGTTCACGTGGTGTGGAGAGTGTGTGTGATTCTGCAGGCTACACCCAGTGAAGGGGTCATGGCTGCATAGGCACTAAGAGAATTAAACATAACATAAGGCTAACTTCTTTTAAGTACATTGTCAGAAATTGGGAAGATAATGGCTTAGATCCAGAGAAACACAGCTGGCTTGTACAGTAGGTTATCTTGCCACCTGCTCATTGTGGCTCTTTGAATCCTTTAAAATTTGCTCTCTTGGGTTGAACAGTCCTCCAGAATGGCATGTAGGCTATAAGATGATGGGGTGTTCCCTTTGACCACAAGCAGGAGGTATCTTCTACTTGCACAAGAAGTTCCTAGGATGTAAGCCATTATAATTTATAATTATAATATTGTCCGGGCCCAGCAGCAAAGCCATGGGAGGAAAATGTACCACGGCCCCGCCAACTGCCTCCCTGGCCCACCTGTGCCCGACCCCTGGGTAAGCCTGCCGGCTCTGACAAGAAAACTTATAGGGGCGGCAGGAGACAGTGACGGCCAGGACAAGGTGTCAAGGGCTGGTGGAGGTGACACAGGAGGAGCAGAGGACTCGCAGCCAGCAGCAGGGCCAGGCACAGAGTTTGTCCAGTGGTGGTGGATGATGAGGGAGAGGGAGTTGGCCAACACTGAGGCTCCCAAAGCCAGGAAGCAGGAGGGGAGGCTGGAAAGGGGGCGAGTGGACCTTGAGGATGTGGAGAGCCTGACTGTGGCACCAGAAGTGGCGCCACCCCACCCTCTGCCAGCCAGAATGGAGGACACCTGGCACAGGGGAGGAGATGGGAGGCAGGAAGGCGGAGCCCTCTCTCAGCCTCGGCCAGTGGAAAAGGACTGAGGGTGATGAGCAGGGACTGACTCCACTGAGGGAGGGTGAGTCAGGCCCAGAAGAGGGAGGAGGAGGGATAGAGGCTAGGAAGGAAAAACGCTGGGTGCCAGCGTTGCAGCAGAGGGTGTTCTGGCTGAGAGGAGGAGGAGGAGGAGCCAGGTGAGTTTAATCCCCTTCTCTCCCATTCTGAGGCCTCTGAGGGGGCGTAACCCAATGTCAGGAGCATGACGGCAGAGGGCTGCCTTCCCCTGGGGGGGGGGGGGCAGACAGGGCTTCTCTGAACAGTTTTTCTTCTGACCTTCAGCTTCCTGCTCCTGGTGAATGGGTAATCTGATTTAGTCAAGCTGTAAAATCAGTAGATTTGTATATCTGAGGCCCTGTTCATACGAGCCCATTTGGGCTGGGAGCGGGACGGAACGGGGGCGGAGCAAACCGGCGCGATCCCACCTCAACATCTGGGGAGCGTGCCGGATCCGTCCCTTCCAGCGTTGCTCCGCGCCAAAAAAGAACCACCTCCCGAGGTGGTTCTTTCTGAAGGGCTGCAGCAACGCTGGCCGTGGGATCGCCGGCGTGTCCTTGCGCCGGCGCATCCCCGGCTCCTGGCCGAACTGCACATGTGTGAGCATGCGCAGTTCTCCAGGCTCCCCTTCCCACCGTCGCGTTCTCCCTGGCATCTGATCGTGCCGGGGAACGTTGCGACGCAACTTGGGGGATCTGTGAGATCCCGCCGCGCCGTCCCAACTTTGCTGCGGCTCACATTAGCCGCAGTACGAGCGTCTTATTCCCTGCCGTGTGGCAGGGACCTGTGTTAACTTTGATTACCAGTTGAGCAGAGCCATGCAAAAATTGCAGCTTTTGCTCATGGGGAGCAAGGCAAAGTAAGAAGGAGTCACTATGGTGAAGCATCAGACATAAAGTTTGTTCTGACAGAAGTTTGCTGAGAAGCAATTTGACCTTGAGACATAGCATAATAATAATGCAGCTTTGCTTTAATTATTTACTCTGCAGTATTTCCTTGACTCCATTCTAAACAGCAGACAAAATCTTAACACAACTTTTGACATTCAAAGTCTGAAGTGTTCTCAAGTATTTAGGCTATTCTAATTTGAGACAATTTCAACTGCAAGACTGCGTGTTTTATTACCATCAGTTCATAGCCCTAAATATATCCAATCTCATGGAGCAGGTATTTCCAAATACATACTTACCATATTACATGTGGGAGAACTGTGTTATTTTAAAAAAACACCCTCATATTTGCTGTAGTTCAGGAAGATAATTTTTCAGTTTGAATAGTTTTTTTGTGGGAGACCTTTTCCTAGATTTTTTAATGGTCACAATATGACATTGCAGTTTATTACAAAGTGTGTAGATCAGAAACAAAGGGTAGAAGGAAAGTATTGTTTTGTGTTTTCAAGTATAAGAGGATTTTCTTTCTGACTACTGGAAATTAGATGTTGAGGAAGAGAGGAAAATTTGCCCCCAAAAAGGCATTGTGAACAAAGATCTTGAGTTAATAGCCTTTATCAGTCATTGCATTTGTGGAGCTTTGGCTGTGATGGAGATTATTGAAGGGGGCTCGAAGATTAGATAGTTTATGCTCTTACTTCTGTCAGAACCACTACAGGGACTGACAGGGCCATAGCAAACGATTGTGACTAAAAATTTTGATCTTTAAATATGTTCACTGTGGTGCATCAGGATAAAAATGAAGACTGAAGCAAATTACATCCCAGTTGGAACATAACTAGCATGTAATCCTTGCAAATGAATACCAAACTATTCAAAATATTTTTAAAGACGGTATAGTCACTTTTTATCAGGGCATTTTATAAGAGATGATTGAGCAAATGGTTTGTAAAAGAGAGCAACAGCACTTGCTATTTCATGTAAGATTACTGCAGAGCTTTCAGGGTCATCCTTTATTCAGCAAGTTTAGAAACAAATGAATAGACTTAATGCATCTTCAGATGTAGAGGGTTAGATCAGTTCATTTTTACCGCTTGAGAATATTGAATGCAATGCATTGCTTAGTTAATAATTTTTTTTGGTTGGACATGGACAGACATTAGCTTTGCTGACATAAGAGGAAGGAGAGGGCAGTTTCACTCCCTTCCCACTGCAGCCTTCTGACCTGTATAGTTCTCACAGCTCTGCGCTCCTTACTTCTGTGGATTGGAATGCCAGTGAGTTGACTGGTAACATAGATCTGCCACCAAGTCAAGATCACCCTTGATTAAATGTCTGCGTTATCATGTCTTGTTGCCACATAGCATCATCTGATAGTAATGGCAGGAGTGAGATGCTTCAGCTCTACAGAAGTCAGGATTATACCACTATAACACTCTGATTTAGGAATGGGCCACCCCTGCCCCTATCACTTTCTCCAGAAAACTTCCGTTCTCTCCTTCTCAATTAGACCACATAGTCTATCTTCTTCTAGTGGCCATGTGGTATAGATGCCTGTTTCTTATAGCAGGAGCACGGGTCAGGAGGAACCAAGAAATGTATGTGCTACAGTTGCCATAAGGATGAGACCCCTTTGTGTGGTCTGGCTTAGGGTACTATAAAGTCCACGAGAGGGACTGCACTTGGTGAGCTTTCTAGAATCCGCCTTTTGCAATTTAACATGGTTCTCTCTGCTCAAATGAATCAGTGTGTTTAATATTTTACTATTGTTTAATCAATATTTCATAAATAATTGAGCTGTCAAAATACCAGCTTTGCTTATGTGCTTATGTATTTTTGCCAGGTTGTGTTAGGATAACTAGAGTTAGTATATTAAACAGCATGTAAATGCTAATTTTATCAAGTAGAGTTTATTTATTATTTATTAAAAGTACATATTTCACATCAGTATCTTTCTAAATTAAGTTGGGTTCAGTCTTTTAAAGCCTGTTATGTCCAGTAACAAGCATATAATAATATAGTGCATCTGTACTCAAGAATAAAAATATTCAGAGCTCTGGATCTATGACCTGAGTTATAGCTGGAGATATAAACATTACTGACTAAGAAGAGACCCAGCCACCCTGATCTGCATTTGGGTTACACTTCCGGCAATAATTACTTTCTATGTGGTTTACATATTGCCATGCCTCTCTTGGAGTTCTGAAAAGAATTAGATGAGTAGTAATTCCTATTTGCCCTCATGTTGGTGTTACCATGTAATCACTGGTAGCTTGTTCATCCAGTGCTTAGTATGTTGTAAGTGTACTATGTTCATCTGTAAAGGGCTTTTTGTTGTATTACTTGTAACATTTATCCTCTAACAATCTATTCTGCATTCTTTACAGAAGAACAGTAAAGCAGAGTGCAGTCAAAGCCTGGCCATTTGCTAGCATGTGAAAATGGTAGTGAAGGTAGTAGAACAGCACAGCACAGTCTAGTTTTATCAATGCATTTTTAATATGATGCCTTTATATGATATCAGAGAGATGGTATGTAGTTAGATGCCTACATGTGTCTCATTTCCCTGCTTGCTTGGGCATGATCCACCATTTCCTTTGTGCTCATTGCTACATGTGTGAGCACTTCGCTTTGACGCAGAATATTGCACCTGGTGAGGCACAAAATGTTGCACCTGGCCATTACCTCAAATGGGGAGATCCGTATACATCTCCTGTAGAGAGATCTAACAGCCCTACTCTTCTTCAGGACAGTATATGCAGGCTGCTACCACTCGGTTCATGGGTAACCTATTCTTTCGAAGCAAGGGGAGGAGAAGTCTATTACATCTCCTGTGGGAGAGCCACTCAAAGTCTGTTTAAGGTGTTGCTGTAAATCAACCCTGCATTACTTCAATAGATTCAAGCTTCCTGTAAATGCACATGCAGATTAATGTGAGGTTGGCTATGTTAAACGGGAACACTGGAAAATGGTATATTGTCCATGCTGCAATCTACTGAGTGCTGCCTATTAAGGCATTTGTATCCACTGGGAAAAACAAACATATGACACCCACATTTTGGGCCCATTGTGGGTATATGTTATAGGCATAATTATTTTGGGGTCAATATACTTGGCTCTTAAAATTGACAGTGTACATTGAGGACAGTACTCACCAAAAACTTCTGATATGGGGTGAGTTTAAGCTTTAGTGGCTGTGGAAAGCAAAATAGGTATCCAAAAACATGTAAAGATTCAATAAGGATTCAGTAGGTAGGGTTATCGTCATCTTTTCCATTTAAAGACTTATTATAAAGCAGGAAAAGCCGTATTGTGGGAAAGCATGATTGTTATGAGCTGCTCATTATGAAGCTCAAAATTACAACAGTGCAACTGTGAATGCCATGATAGTAATGAACTGAAATAGAACTATAACTATGACTTGGAATAGCACCTTCCAACCCCTTAATTTTTGCTTGCATGCCGCTCTCCCTCCAGTATTACCTGCCCAAATGCCACAGCTCTATCATTCAGATCCCTATTAGGCAGCTCACACAACAGCAGTCTCTCTGTGGTGCTCAAGGAAGAACAGTATTTTGGCATTCTCTCCTGACTTAAAAAGGCTGCCAGGGAGAAGCTTGTATGAAGGAGGAGGGGCAGATGCCACTGCTTGCACATCTGTGGGCCATTTGTTAGCTTTAAGCAGGTGGATAAATGGCAGACCACCTCAGAGCCAAGTATTTGGCATTCCAACTATGTATGGTGAAAAGCTGGCAGAGACTTAGGTATAGAATAGAAATGATTCTTCAGCTTTAATAGACAAGTTAGCAGATACCCTGGCTCACTGCTATAAAATTCAGATATATCCAAAATAAAGTGTTCATCCCCAAATAAATAACCTTACTAGTGTGTGTTTTGTATTGGTTAGGCTATCAAGTGTTAGCCCCCACTGCCTATTACGATCAGACGGGTGCCTTGGTGGTAGGTCCTGGAGCCAGAACTGGACTTGGAGCACCTGTCAGGTTGGTGGCTTCGACACCTGTGATCATCAGTTCTGCAGCTGCACAAGCAGGTAGGTGGATCTCTCACAGTGAATTCTAGCTAATAGGGAAGCAGTCGTCACCGTTTATTTTCTGTGTCTTCTTCTAAATAGTGCTGCTTTAAAGGAAACACTTGCTCATATGTCCCCCACATACTGACAAGAAATTTCTTGTATTGGATTGTTCATCTTGAGATTTTCATCCCTTCGATGTCCCGATCCCTAGAGGTTCCCTATAGATTGATGCATTCTTTCTTGGATATGGGATTATGTGACGTGTCTGTGTGGACCAGCCTGCATGTGGCTATGTTCAGCAAATGCTAGTAGCAGATATCATGCTAGCAATACATTGCAATCAGAGCTGGCAACCTTATGAAGAAAATGCAGATATCTGCAATGGTATTTCTCCAAATGATGCCATATCCTGGAAGTGTTGGGAGGACCAAAGTTGCTGTTTGTCCGACTTAGTGCTTTGCTTAATTTTGTTATACAGCATGGATGGATGAAGAGGGGGTATTTTCTGTCATCTTATTTGTAAGCCAGACGAAATAGAGTAGCTAATAAACTGGTGGTTTTCTCATGTTGAGTTTAGAGTTTTCTTATAGCTTTTAGTGAATTCTACATTCACTTCTTAGAACCCAAGAGAGATGCCAGAGCCCAATGTGAAGTGATAACATGCTCTCTTTGTAAATCTGGCTTCAGTCAAAAGACATGCTTCCCCTCCCTTAGCTCTTTGCGCGTGCTAGGTGGGTCTTATCTCCAAACTGGGATTTAGCAGCAGCATAAATCTCAGTGCTCTCTCCCTTCCACAAGGGCCTTGTGCAGAGTGAGAGATTCTTCCCATTCCAAGCTGTCTGCCGTTTGTGGAGAACTCAGTGAAGGGCACATTGTAGAAGGCATTTGTAGCATATACTGACTATTCTTGGGGGGGGGGAGGTATTTTTGTGTGTGCGTGCGCACCTCCATGCCTGGAAGTCATGGTGACCTCTGGCAACTCCTGCTGGGGCATGGAGGACGTTCAGAGAAGTGGCTTGATAGCCTGCTTCTGCCTTCCAGCCCTGGTGTTCTCTGGAGGTCTCCCATCCAAATACTTGCCAGGGTTGGCCCTGCTTAGCTTCCGAGATCTGACGAGATCGGTCTTGCCTGGGATATCCAGGTCAGGGTATACTGACCATTCTTAAGGTAGTTTTGCTTTCTTGTGCAGTAGGAGATGACTGTTCACTGAAAATCCTTTGGCTAAAATTTCCTATAATAGTAGTGATTTTTTTCCTCTTAGGTTATTCCTCTGTGCAGTAAAAATGTTATCTGAGTTTAGTGAAAATAGCAGCCTGTTTTTAGAATAAAAATGTTTTACAATCCTGTCGATGATGCTTGACGGACCATCTCTTTCCATATGTCCATGTGTGCCAACTTTGGTCATCAGTAGGCTTGCCAAGTCCCCCCAGGGGGCAGGGAAACCCCTGCCCCAGAGACCCGTTCCCCACCGCCGGCGGATCGGGCCCCGCGGGGAACCCCACCCCGACATGTGCGTCACCCGGAAGTGACGTGACTACTGGAACGTGCTCCTTGAAGAGGTGAGGGGACCACCTCGTTGGAGAACTTCAGAAGGCACTGCAAGGCCTGGCTGTTTGCCAGGGCTTTTCAGGGTGTTTGACTGGCATCTTTTAAGGTGGGGGGAGATATTTAGGGTTCGCTGTTTTATTTTTGGCTCTAACTGAATAGGTTTTTAACTGTTACTATAAGCCGCCTTGAACCATGAGGAAAGGCGGCATATAAATGTTTTGATTAATAAATAAAATAAAAAACCATGTGTCTTGCAGCTGCAGCAGCCTCAGCCGGAGGAACAGCAAACAATCTTACAGGAGCCACAAATGGGCTTTTTCGGCCCCTGGGTGCCCAGCCGCAACAGCAGCAACAGCAGACAAACAGTAACCTGCAGTCTAATTCATTTTATGGCAACAATGCTTTGACCAATAACTCCCAGAGCAGTTCACTTTTTTCCCACGGTCCTGGCCAGCCAGGAAATACATCCCTTGGTTTTGGAAGCAGCAGTTCTTTAGGTGCTGCTATTGGCTCAGCACTTGGTGGATTTGGATCATCAGGTAAGCTAATTAAAAAAACAAACAGGTTCTGTAAGTTGCTGTGACAGAAAAATTCTGTTTTCCTATTCATTGAATATATTGTTTAATTTTAAGTAATTGTTACTCTTAGAGTCTGAGGGAAGGTAGTTTGTCCCGCTAGGCCTTGCACATGAGGAACAGTGTTGAGTGTGTTAGTGACTGTGACAGTTTCCATTCTGGGCTTTTTAATGGCTTGTTTTTGTGATTAGTTGGTCTTTTACTTTTCAAGTTTTATGTCCTTTAAGTGTAATTAGGGCTGCCTTTGTCTTGAGCGGTGGGCAAGAGACATCCGCTCTTGCTCTCCCATCACCCCAGCAACATCAGTGATTGGGTCAATTGTTAATGGAGGTGGGAAAGTGAATTTCCTTCCTCAACAAATCACTGTGTACTCCCTGATCCATCTGTGGTAGCCCTGTACCTGCCATTCAGGATTGGGCTCCCTATAGTAGTAGAGAATTGATTTATTCCTTTCCATCTCGTTCTACAGGGATGTGTTGCTTCTGTGCAAAGGCAAGGGGGCTTTCTTTTGCCACTATCTCAGCTGTTAGTCTCTCAAAAAACTTGCAACGTATAGCCTTTAGTTTATCTTTTAAATAGTGGCTTCTGTTCAAAAATGCTTAACTATTGTCATTTTATTTTGTTTTTATTATACAACAGTTGTCATTATTACTTTATGCACAGCCTGATAATATGAATACATATATTACCCCTTTAAAATCATAAATATAAATGTGGAAATTGGTTTGTTTCTGAAGAAATTATTACCATATGGTGAGGCACATCAAAATAGTTAGTAGTTGTTTTCATTGCATAGGAGGAGGAAGTGTGAGTAAAGCACACACAATTCTGTGCACTTTGCAATTGAATCAAAGTGAGCTTGCACACATTAACCTTGGAAAATGTCCCATGGGAAACAATTTTTTTAATGTTTAGGAGAACATGTTAGAATGTTTCAGTTTCCCCTTTAGTATTTTAGTATCTTTTGTTTCAGCTGGTAAAGATGTCCGTTAAAATGAGCAAACTGGCAGAATTTACTGTAACAAATATACTTCATTAATATGAAGAGCTTAAAATGTTTTAAACTGGAAACTATTGCAAAACTGAAAAAAATAAGAATTGTGTTTCTTCTATTTTGGTATAAGATCAAATATCAAAACAAACTTTTATGGAAAGCTTTTTAGGATTTACTCCAGTATTTTAGCATGGTACTGAATTCTATTTATAAAATTTTCTAGTCCTGCATATTTTTGATCACTAGGCAGACTGTTGCAGAATTAAAACAAATTTAGAGTCCAGTCCTTTAGAGTCCTTTAAGACCAACAAAGTGTTATTCAAGGTATGAGCTTTCATGTGCATGCACACTTTTTCAAATGTATTGGAATGGTAGGTAAGGTTCAAACTTATAATCAGGGCTGAAAGTTTGAACCTTACCTACCATTCCAATGTATTTGAAAAAGTGTGCAAGTACATAAAAGCTCATACCTTGAATAAGACTTTGTTGATCCTAAAGGTGCCACTGGACTCTAAATTTGTTCTACTGCTTCAGACCAGCACGGGTGACCACCTGGATTTATTTCATAATTAGTTTTGCTAAAGCAAGAAATCCTATGTGATTACAATAATAGAAATATATTCAAGTCCCTAATATGTTTAAAAAGTTAAAATATGCCTCTTTGCCCACTTATTGTTTTATTTGTAAAAAGAAATGTTGACCTAAATTAGAATTAGAATATTACAATGACATGAATCCTTTTTTTTAAGTCTAGGAATTAGCTGAACTGTTATCATTAGGATGGAAGTTTTATTTTTTAATGCACTCTTTCTCCAAAATGTGTATTTTTCTAGCTTTGCAATAATTCTCCAAGATAGGAAAAACAGTGACTTGCTCAAGACCATTCAGTGAGCTTCATAGCTAACTTGGGATCTGAAACTGAGCGTTCCACATTTAAGAGCACATTAAAGTAAAGGTAAAGGTTCCCTTGCTCGAAAGCCAGTCGAATCCGACTCTAGGGTTCATCTCCGTTTCAAAGCCGAAGAGCCAGCACTGTCCAAAGACATTTCCGTGGTCATGTGGCCAGCATGATTAAACACCAAGGTGCACGGAACGCTGTTACCTTCCTATTTATCTACTTGCAATTTCTTGCTTTCGAACTGCTAGGTTGGCAGGAGCTGGAACTAGAGACAGGAGCTCACCCTGTCTTGCGGCACCCGGGTCTTGAACCGCTGAACCTACTGACCTTCCACAGCCTGCAGTTCAGCGTCTTAACCACTTGAGCCACCGCAGCTCCTAAGAGCACATTACTGCACCATATATACCACAAGAGGGCCAACCCCGCCCCCCTCCACCATGATACTTTCAACCAAATGGCTTCTTGTGCCATATGGTACATGTACTACTTTGAGATACCATATAACTCTTTTTGCAGATACAGATTAATTACTATTCCTCAGGAACACGCTACAATGAGATTCTAAATAATAAAGGACCTAAACATAGCCAAGAATGTTTATGCATATTTTGCTACAGGATAAAAGATCCTCCCAAACAAAAGTTGTACTGCAATTAGTCATGTTGTTACCAGCCCAGAGCCCGCTTGCAGGAAGGGCGGGCTATAAATACTAAAAATAAATAAATAATAAATATAGCTATTGGGGATCAGACTGTTTCTATGTGATTTGATACAGTGAATGGCACTTATTTGGGCTCCTTCAGTAGTTTTAGGTGAGTGCAACGGGGAAGGGAAAAACCAATTTAAACTGGTAAAATCATGTTTCCCAATTAATTTCAGCATATTCACTCACCCTAAACAGTGATGCAATATCTTAGCTGTCTCTGTAGGTTCACTAGATAGGTACCTATGCCTTCTGAACATCTCACTGTTGCACAACTTTTATAATTGTTATAATTGTAGTTTTCTAAAACTACCTGTATGAAATCTATTGATAAGCTTCTAGTTCATACATTATCCTCTATAAAGAAATGCCATTTCCTTATTTTATGTGATCTGCCAAGCTTTGTACTCTGCTTCTGCAGTCCATATCCTTTTATGACCTGCCTTCAAAATACTATTGAACTTTCTGTTTACATCCAAGAATGTTTCCTTAGTGTGTGGTTGGTTTGTATGTTACTGAGAAGTGCAGATTCTAGTGGGATTTTTGTAGCAGCAATTGTGAAGTGGGTGAAGCAGAATATCTGCCTTCTTGAGCTTCTCATGCCAAACAAATCCAGCATCTTGGGGTTTGCCATTGCCCCACAGTAGTTCAACTGAAAAAAAAATTGAGGGACTGTTTGCAGAAATTAGTTCAACTTGGTTCAAATGAATGCAGTACGACATACCTGACTATTGGTCCCAAAGTCTGACTCCAGAATACTGAACTCTTGAAAAATGATTAGCAAGTCTTGAGTGCATCGAGACTTGGAGGTTGTTTTAAAGTTCCTTCCTTTTTTACGTGAGGAATGCTTGTACTCATTTTGTGACTTATTAAAGCATGTGTGGTTATCACAGTAATTGTCTTTAGAATGATTTGATTGTTATAATTTATTGTGATCACATTTGTTATTGCCCAGCTGTAGGTTGGGGCTAGGTTTGATTTGGTTGACACTGTATGTAATAGGGTCTTTTTATTTCTTCTTCAGTTGGCAGTTCTGCAAGTAGTAGTGCCACAAGGAGAGAGTCTCTATCTACTAGTTCTGACTTGTACAAAAGATCTAGTAGCAGCCTAGCACCCATAGGGCAGCCATTTTACAATAGTCTGGGATTTTCCTCCTCTCCAAGCCCAATAGGCATGCCTCTGCCAAGCCAAACTCCAGGACATTCACTTACGCCACCGCCATCACTTTCATCACATGGATCCTCATCCAGTTTGCATTTAGGTAAAAAAACCAACGCCCTTTTTTGTTTGTATATGTATGTGTGTATATGTATTATATATGTGTATAAATATTTTTATGTTGAGTTAAATATGTCAATTTGCCTCTTCAGCGAAACAATACTGTGTAGTGTGCCTAGTCCCAGCAAGTTGCTCAGTGCAGTCCATTTTTTTTCTGATGTCTCCATTGAAAGTAATCAGCTGTGGGAGCAACAGCAGTTTTCCCCGAGACCCTCCAGACTTGCAATATAAAAACGAAGCCTGCTACTTAGGAGGGGGGAAAATCAGGTTGTGTTGTGTGTTGTTGTTTGATAGGCAAAGGTATTTTTCCTGTTTATGTGTTAAAACGTGTCTGCTTTTATGGAGTCAGCTTTAGGCTAATGTTTGGTGCGTGGTAATGATATAAGTTTTGAATGTTTGTCAAGGAAGAGCTCAAGTTAGTGTTCACCGTTAAGCTGCTATCTGAACAAGTAGGTCAATGACTTTGCAGTAAGTCTTTAGAAGTCACTGTCAAACAGGTGGCAAAAATAATAGTGTGAGGCGATATGGCAGCAGTATTTAGTTGTAATGCATGCTTTCCATTACATCTTACTGCATTGGTAATATTTTCATTTACTTTTGTTTACACTGAAGTGTTTGAGCCAATGACAATGTATTGTTGGCATTAGCCTTATTTTTAAAAAAGATGTTACCATGTAATTGTGGATCACAGCTTGGATCAGACAGTGTCTTCTGTCCACAATGGGGAGCATAGCAGGTCACAGGGCACTCTCCAGCATGTGATTACATCCCTGCAAGCAACTTCTGACCAGCAGGTAATAGCTAAGGTTGAGGATATGCCATATAGAAGAGAAACTTGTCTACTGCAGTAGTGCAGTTTCTGTAACAGTGAAGACTGACTTCTTTGGTTATGTAAATTACACAAATTAAAAACATGTGGATGTCTCACTTTGCATAGTTCTTCTTCTGCCAGTCATAGGGAGGAGCCAAGAGCTTCATGAAGTCCTGCCCTTGCCCATCAGATTATTTAGCAATTTCTCTGGTTTATGTTATGCTAATTAAGCATATCTTCACAACTGCAAATAGTTTAGGAACTTGCCAGGTTCAGTCCTACCACTTTGCTTAGTTACATATAAGAGCCTTCCTCTGTCCCAAACAGCATTCCTCCAGTGGAAAAGGGTCCACACTTAGCTGAACAGAGTTGAAGGATACAATCCACTGTTCCCAGTAAACTAAAGTTGTGATTCCCAGTAAGTTGAAGTCAGTGGCTTTTATCCAGTGCATGAGCAGAAAGAAAATTGTACTTAGGGTACATCTACTTGAACAAGCAATAGCACATAGGGTGCATCTACTTGAACAAGCAATAGCACAAGAGCTGTAGTAATACACAACACTTCAATACAATATTTAACACAATAGTAGTCTACATACAGAGCAGAATCAGTCCTTGTGAGAAAATAGTACAGATAAATGTTTTTTCATCAGTATCTTACTCTGGCTTTTTGTGCTTACTCAGAGTTATAACACACACAGTGGAATGAAAGTAATTTTTTATTTGGAATCTAGTACAGAAGCCTGGATTCATGCAAATTTTTAAAAGCAGTTGTACCTTTTAATTAAAACTGGTATATATGCTATGTCGGACAGTGGACAGCTATCAAATGATTATCTGCTTTTGGGTAATGAAAACAATCTTCACAGTCCATTCCTTTGATAGCAGAATAAAGAGTTGGGGCAGATTCTTGCAAAGGCCCTTTTAGATAAGTAGACTGGACATTTACATACAAATAGCTAATGCGGCATGTCATTAGCTAAATGACAAATGCAGCAACAAGACTGTTCTGCAAAATAATGGCCCAGATTGAATTTCCAAATGAAGGAGCCTCTTGTTGATTTGTTCAGTAACTTCTGTATGCTGTCAGGAGGAGAAGGGTATTACAGGATCAATGTCACATCTTCGTGTGACAGCTAATGACTTTTGTTTGGCTCATTATGTTATTGAGGACTTTGTACAGGGACAAAAGTATTAGCTCTACTATAGAATTATACTGTAGAAGAATTTGCAGTTAGTTGAAGGTGGAGTTTTCAACATCTAAACTTTGGTTCCTTCCCTCACTAGTTATGTGTGCCAACTGTGGCTCTCTCCACTGCAGTTTTTCTGTTGACAGAAGGATTTCCGTCAGCAGAGCACAACTTTCTCACCTCCCCGCTCCCACTGCAGCCCCAAATGCTACTCCTAGCCCCCAGGAACAGCATTGGGGGGGGGTATTTTGAGCTGCATCAAGAAGGGGAGAGGTGAGAAAGTTACACTGTGGACAGGAATCCTTCCATCCTGGGAAAGCTCTGGTGGATCCAAGCCCAAGGTTTACAAATGGTCACTCTCAAATAAGTGCTGTTTACTGAACTGTAAATATTCAAATTAATATAATTTGTTTTAGGAATCGTTTCTAGGGCCCCGTCAGTATTTTCATCATGGTAGCAAAATTATGCAGAAAAAATGTAGACGAACAGGTGCAAAGTGAAGAAATATTTATTTAGTTCTTGTGGATCCCTATGCATTTCTCAATTCACTTCATCGGGCTCTAGTATAAAATAAGGTAAAATTATATTTTGGTTAATTAAAATATATCTTTCAAGAATCAAACCTAGCATTAATTATGACAATTTTCATGATTACAAACAGAGCATGATACATAAAAGCCAATACAAACATTTAGGTCTGTAAAAAACCCTTGTAGTAAATTACAATAAAATTTCCACCCAGAAACATTCAGGTACATGGAGAAAAAATCAGTAGAGCTGTTCTAACTATCCACAATAGCATAGTTAAATCAAGAACACTTCATATATGAAATTGTTTTCTGGAGGCTAACAGTGAAATATTCATAGATCTTTCTGTTTAAAAGGAATGGGTTGTCAGAACTCTTTTGAGTACATTCAGATTTTGGTGCTTTGGCTTTTTATATGATAAACTGTTGAATTCCGAATTCTGCCAATCAGACATCCTTTGCATATGTAATACAGGCATTGTTCCAAATGGAAATATTGAGCCTAATGAATAGAAAGCAGTCTTAAGGCCCCTTTAGGCATGTGAAAATCCATATACACCAAAGGTTTTCTAAATATCTGACAGTAGCTGTGGTTGTATTGAATCTGCATAAAAAACTGCAGTTCCTCTGTGATTCAGGGGCAGCTTGTTGGGCAGTGCAAGAGACTGATTCCACAAAGCA